ATGTTTAAGCCAGAATGATTTGACATTTAAATATGACTTCCCTACGACTTTAAATGAGATCGTATTAAACTGATTTATTGTAATGAGTCGAGGAAAGATGACCATGATGCTCGGCTGGTCAGGACTGACTTGGAACAATAGAAGGACGTACCTCTTGCTGTCAGGATGTTGTTCCGCCCACTCCCAGCTGCTTATTACTCACTCCTGTTCTTTGTGTAATTCCTGTAGATCCTCACTGAAGCAACAGCTGCAGCACCTGTTGATTATTTCAGTAATCCAATAATCTATCAATGTTTTTTTCTCACTCGGATAAAAAGATACTTTTGGTGAATAAAGATTTCAAAATAAACATTTGTTATAGTCTTTGGAAAAGGAGATGGTTAGTCAGTCACTTCATTTGGACGGTATTAAACCGATTTCAGATAATTATTTTAGATTATTTGTTTCAGTCCTAATTCCAATGTCTGAATCTGATCTGATCCTGTTGATTACCCGCCTCTCTCTCACAGACCCTCTCCTGTCTGTCTTCTAGGCGAATGTGTCCTTCAGAGGACCGCCATGGTGAGGAAGAAGCTGACCGCCAGGGAAGGCAGAGGATGGCTCTCTGGTACCCTCTTCTGTACCCACTTCAGAGTGGCTTTTGTTCCCCAGGACGGCCCCAAAGCCGACGTGAGTCTGAATGTTTTCATTAGTGAGAAAAGAAGTTGGTCCCTAACTGGAACAACACATGACAGACTGTAGATATTGATATTATTATGGTTATTATTCTAAAAAAAAACTTATTTTCTACAAGCTGCAAACTGTTATTGTATTAGAAGCCATTCTAATTGTCGTCTTCATCTCTTGGATGAAAACTGTTGTTTATTTTAGTCTCCATTTAGTCATTTCTATATTTAATAGTTTAGTTTTAGTTTCAGTAAAGAAGTCATTGTTTTCTTAACTTATCTGTGAAGATTCTCAGTCATCCAGATCATGGTTTAGGCAGATGTGAAGTTTTCTAGAAGACGTTTCTTCTCTCATCCAAGAGGCTTCTTCAGTTCTAATCAGTGGTGGGGAGCACTGAGATTAATATACTGTAGCTCAATTAAAACCCAGCGGGGTCCAAATAAAGAAAGTCATCAACCAATAAAGCTCCGGAGACATTTTTAATTGTAATCCGTTACTTTAAACAGCATTTAACACTCAAATAAAATCAGGTTTTTATGCGTCCATGTTGTACATTGAGTTTGTGAAGGGGTGTGAGAGATGGCTAGTCCAGCAGGAAACAGCAGCTTGGAGACAATGGTGCTGAAATCTAAGCTGTCTAATCATGTATTATGCACTTTTTAAACCTGGAAACAAAGATTTGGTAAACATGATCCTCAAAAAAGCAAAATCCTAGAGTCACTAGTGTAAGAATATCTTAGAGATAAGAAAATCTGGGCCAATACTAACATCACCATTATGGGTCTCTACGCTTTGAAAACCATAAAAAAAACTAAAAAAAACAAGACCACCTGCTGATCTCACCTGCCGCTTCAGTTCAACACCACCAGTCCTGAGCTGGGCCACAGTCACATGACCAAACAACTCATGACCCATCCCCTCCTGAAACAAAAACAGTAACTACCTGATAACTAAGATTGGTTGTTGAAAGGGCCCAGCTTTACTTATAAGCTGATATGCTTAAAAAAAGACCAATAACTGCGGATACAGA